CCCCCCCCCCCCCCCCCCCCCCACATGCAAATGACAAAAGGCACATTCGTAATTTAAAGTTCTTATCAAGTGAAGCCATATTTAATCATACTACCCTAACATAGTTGCCAACTTTGGGAAAAAAACATCCCAGAGATTTTGCTTTGGGGGGCTCACGAGGCGCCACCATAGTTGGCGCCAAGCAGAAAATTTTTGAAAATATGGAGTCTCTAGACTAGATCGTTGGAAATGGCATTTTCAGAGTCTTCTATACCTTATACACACAAGTTTTGGTAGCTTTTATTTAGATATACAAAACCATATTGTTGAGTACCCACAAGTACAAGGTTGCATGAAGTGATGTTTTGATTATCTATTTTTGGCTTAATGGCATAAATTTTTTCAGAAGAAAAACGTTTTATGTTAAATTTGACAAAAATGAAGTCACTCTTAATAGCTGTTAAAATGTGCAGCAAAGTCAACATATTTAAGAACCAGTCGGGTTATTTCCGAAATCCGTAAGATATTAACAAGCTGTGAGCTCACTGTGAGGTTTTAGTAAAATCTGTGATGCTCATGGTGGATCTGTGAGAGTTGGCAACTATGCCCTATATACATATATCGTAATTTATATATTCTTTACCATTTATTGAGTCAACGGCTGTTCCAATGTAAATGTTTATGTTGAGATCAGTTTAATAAATGGTGTTGTGTTAGAGTTTACTACAGTAATATTGTTCTACTGCTCTCTATTTTTTATCTATAGGTTTTATGGTATGACGGGGTAATGCGGGGCAGGTATTTATATTGCACAAAAGTTTTGGCCCCCCTTTTTTCATACACAAAAATATCTGACCCCCCCTCTTTCCACCAGCCCCTGTAATTAATGACCGGTCCCTAATAATATATTATAGTTTCAAGTGCAATTTGGAAAAAAAGTATCAAAGCGAGTTTTTTGCACTGAATTACCCTTTTTGGCAATGTATTACGAATTACGATAAAATTGTACAACTCTGAACTATCAGCCAGTCAGGTTGACGAGTATATACTTTTTCATGTATATACTATTTACTATTGCTATAAAACACAAATACAGTACATTTTATACTCACAAGTCTAGCGGATAAAAGAAGAGAACCAAATATTTCCCTATACAAGATAAAATATACACGTCAAAATTTTGAGATACTTTAATATAATACCAAACAAATCAAATTAAACGAGAAAGG